TAGTGTCCCATCATTGGTGTCAGTGGGAGGAATAGTGCCCCATCATTGGTATCAGTGGGAGGAATAGTGCCCCATCATTGGTATCAGTGGGAGGAATAGTGTCCCATCATTGGTGTCAGTGGTGAACCATCATTGGTATCAGTGGGAGGAATAGTGCCCCATCATTGGTGTCAGTGGGAGGAATAGTGCCCCATCATTGGTGTCAGTGGGAGGAATAGCGCCCCATCATTGGTGTCAGTGGGAGGAATAGTGCCCCATCATTGGTATCAGTGGGAGGAATAGTGCCCCATCATTGGTGTCAGTGGGAGGAAATAGTGCCTCATCATTGGTGTCAGTGGGAGGAATAGTGCCCCATCATTGGTATCAGTGGGAGGAATAGTGCTCCATCATTGGTGTTAGTGGGAGGAATAGTGCCCCATCATTGGGAGGAATAGTGCCCTCTTGTTGGTGTCAGTGGGAGCAATAGTGTCCCAAGGGCCGGATAAAGGATATCAAAGGGCCGGATTTGGCTGCAGTTTGGGGACCCCTGATCTGTGTGTTGGGACTGCATTGGGCAAGGCTGCCCATCACAGCCCAATACATACACCAGTTTGGCTGTTCTCTATGCACTTCCTGCTGCTAACACAGGGGGGAGATTTACTAAAACATGCATGGTAGCCAATCATCTTCTAAGCTTTGACAATAAAACCTGGAAGCCGATTGGTTTGTATGCAGAGCTGCACCAGATTTTGCACCATAAAGTTTTAGTAAATAACCCCCATGGTGTTGCTTCATACATATTAGCAGGGTACAGTAAATTGGCGTGTATTCAAAAAGAGCGCCGAGCAACAGGAATACAGACAACCGTTTTCATGGAGATACAGAGGTGCGTTCAGTTCCTGCAAGGTAAATGATGTTTTTCCCAAGAGCTTACAATCCATTGTGGCCTTGCTTGTCATCTGACTATGTGTTATCTCCATCACAGTGGACCAGCTGACGGATGGATCTACCTGGCACGTGTTGGCGCTCACCGTCTGCCTATATGTCCTGCTCAAGCTGCTGCAAGGAGGAGGAGCAGGTAACTGCAGGAGGGACGCCATCATTAGAGCATGTTCTGTCTGTGCCATGTAGCTGTTTGCTGTTATTTGTGATTTTTTTTTTTTTTTTTTTTTTTTTTTTTTACTTTTTTTTTTAAAAAATGTTTTTTTAAATTTTTTTTTGCTTTTTTTAATTTTTGTTGTTTTTTTTTTACTTTTTTTTAATTTTTGTTGGTTTTTTACTTTTTATTTTTTTTGTTGTTTTTTTTAACTTTTTTTATTTTTTGTTTTTTTTACATTTTTTTTTCTTTCTTTTTTTTTCTGTGTCTATCAGGTGCAACAGGGTTTGTAAGTAACTTAAGAACCTTCCTATGGATCCGGGTCCAGCAGTTTACAAACCGCGAGGTACAGATCCGCCTGTTTGCCCACCTGCACTCGCTGTCGTTACGCTGGCATCTTGGACGTAAGACAGGGGAGGTACTCCGTAGTGTGGACAGAGGGACCAGCAGCATCAACAGTCTACTGAGGTACAACTGACATTGCAGGCCAACAACAGAATCATTATTATACCCTTCGAAGAATGTGAGTGTATCCACCTAAGGCTTGGTTCACCGCAATGCGTTTTTTAGTGCTTTTTCCAGAAACGCTTGTGACGGTACGCGGCGTCAGACCCCAGCCCTTCTCGTGAACGAAGGGCCAGCCCATCTCACACCACGCTGTCACTTGCGTAACAATGCCACTCTCAGCTGCGCCCTGCACAAAGATTTTCCAGCTCGCGGGACCACAGTCTATGTGCCAGCAGCCTGAGAGTGATTGTTACTGGGTCAGGTTAATTACACAATTAACCCTTCACACTGCCACCACCGCCTTTTTGCAGGGGAGGAAAATCTCAAATCTCAGCGTCTGTAATACACACTGCCACCACAGACAGGTATATTCAGAGGATTATTACATACAGTAGTAGTAGTTTGCATTAAAATCTTTAGAGACAGTTTCAACACTTTTCAGAAAATAGGATTTATTACTAAAAAGGTCAAAGTGGTGCAATTAAAGTATTTACAGAAAAAGATGTAACATATATATACAGTGGGGCAAAAAAGTATTTAGTCAGCCACCAATTGTGCAAGTTCTCACACTTAAAAAGATGAGCGAGGCCTGTAATTGGCATCATAGGTAGACCTCAACTATGAGAGACAAAATGAGAAAAAAAATCCAGACAATCACATTGGCTGATTTGGAAAGAATTTATTTGCAAATTATGGTGGAAAATAAGTATTTGGTCAATATCAAAAGTTCATCTCAATACTTTGTTATATATCCTTTGTTGGCAATGACAGAGGTCAAACATTTCCTGTAAGTCTTCACAAGGTTGGCACACACTGTTGCTGGTATGTTGGCCCATCCTCCATGCAGATCTCCTCTAGAGCAGTGATGTTTTGGGTCTGTCGCTGGGCAACACGGACTTTCAACTCCCTCCAAAGGTTTTCTATGGGGTTGAGATCTGGAGACTGGCTAGGCCACTCCAGGACCTTGAAATGCTTCTTACGAAGCCACTCCTTCGTTGCCCGGGCGGTATGTTTGGGATCATTGTCATGTTTGAAGACCCAGCCATGTTTCATCTTCAATGCCCTTGCTGATGGAAGGAGGTTTGCACTCAAAATCTCACGATACATGGCCCCATTCATTCTGTCCTGTACATGGATCAGTCGTCCTGGTCCCTTTGCGGAGAAACAGCCCCAAAGCATGATGTTGCCACCCCCATGCTTCACAGTAGGTATGGTGTTCTTTGGATGCAACTCAGCATTCTCTCTCCTCCAAACACGACGAGTTGTGTTTCTACCAAACAGTTCTATTTTGGTTTCATCTGAGCATATGACATTCTCCCAATCCTCTTCTAGATCATCCAAATGCTCTCTAGTACACTTCAGACGGGCCCAGACATGTACTGGCTTAAGCAGGGGGACACGTCTGGCACTGCAGGATCTGAGTCCCTGGCGGGGTAGTGTGTTACTGATGGTAGCCTTTGTTACGTTGGTCCCAGCTCTCTGCAGGTCATTCACTAGGTCCCCCCGTGTGGTCCCGGGTTTTTTGCTCACCGTTCTTGTGATCATTTTGACCCCACGGGGTGAGATCTTGCGTGGAGCCCCAGATCGAGGGAGACTATCAGTGGTCTTGTATGTCTTCCATTTTCTAATTATTGCTCCCACAGTTGATTTGTTCACACCAAGCTGCTTGCCTATTGCAGATTCAGTCTTCCCAGCCTGGTGCAGGTCTACAATTTTGTTTCTGGTGTCCTTTGACAGCTCTTTGGTCTTCACCATAGTGGAGTTTGGAGTGTGACTGTTTGAGGTTGTGGACAGGTGTCTTTTATACTGATAACAAGTTCAAACAGGTGCCATTGATACAGGTAATGAGTGCAGGACAGAGGAGCCTCTTAAAGAAGAAGGTACAGGTCTGTGAGAGCCAGAAATCTTGCTTGTTTGTAGGTGACCAAATACTTATTTTCCACCATAATTTACAAATAAATTCTTTCCAAATCAGCCAATGTGATTGTCTGGATGTTTTTTCTCATTTTGTCTCTCATAGTTGAGGTCTACCTATGATGCCAATTACAGGCCTCTCTCATCTTTTTAAGTGGGAGAACTTGCAAAATTGGTGGCTGACTAAATACTTTTTTCCCCACTGTGTATATATATATATATAGAGAGAGAGAGTAATAAAGCAACAGAGAAATAAAATAAAGAAGTTCAAAAAGGCAGAATACTTGGTTTGAGTCCAGTCGTCCAAACAAAAGGTTGCCTTGGCTCTCAAGTCTCTTAGGTGGTTCCTGATCGAAGTTAAAAGGAGAGCTCCCTTTCTCCGGGCTGGAAGTCTTTTACTATTATCTCAAAGGGGTGTCTCCTGAGAACAAATGGCCAATCATCCCGTTTGGGGATGGGTGTTGGTCATAACTTTGGTTACCGCCTAAGTCCCTTACAATTTCATACTAAGGTCAATAACCTTCAATAGGTACAGGGAGCATCCTAGCAACTGGGAGATTAATATTTAGAATTATATTCCAAATGCAAAGATAGCAAACATAGCGTATCTTTACTACTCAGGATAAGAGACTGCTTTCTTCTCTGTTGTAGGTACTGATATAGTCATGCAAAGTCTCGTTTGACTCATATTAAAATGACCTATCCAGATATATACTTCATATTAATGTGCCCAGTTCCTGCTGAAGTTTATGAGTTTGTATGAAGAATGACTCATGTGGAATATACGTTTTATGGCACACTCTAGCTCTAATGGCCTAACAGGTCATGACTGACCATATGCTTCTACCGACTCTCTGGTAGAACAATTGAGGACCCTGCAACCTGGACACTGGCTATGCCCACCACCTTCATTGCATTGTACTGTTGGCCCATTTCCATGATGGGCATTACTGACCTGTTCTGAGTGAAACCTGTCCTGTTAAACCGCTGTATGGTCTTGCCCACCATGCCGCAGCTCAGTTTCAGGGTCTTGGCAATCTTCTTATAGCCTAGGCCATCTTTATGTAGAGCAACAATTATTTTTTTCAGATCCTCAGAGAGTTCTTTGCCATGAGGTGCCATGTTGAACTTCCAGTGACCAGTATGAGAGAGTGAGAGCGATAACACCAAATTTAACACACCCGCTCCCCATTCACACCTGAGACCTTGCAACACTAACGAGTCACATGAAACCAGGGAGAGAAAATGGGTAATTGGGCCCAATTTGGACCTTGTCACTTAGGGGTGGATGAACTGTATAACCCACAGTCAGGGTGTTTGCATAGGGAGTCCAAAGATGGCTGTCATCCGCGCATATTTGCATCACCACGCTCTAGTCCAGGGGCGGACTGACCATTTGGAAACTCGGGCACTGCCCGAGGGCCCGGGGTCAGTAGGGGGCCCCATGAGATGCCCCTGGTACCTTTTTCATAGGCTTTTTTGAGTTTGGGCAAGGACACAGGGGCCCCATGATCCCCTATTGCCCGGGGGCCCCATGAGTTGTCAGTCCGCCCCTGCTCTAGTCTTACATGTTGCGTCACAATAACACGTGACTTCTCCAGGGACACATTAGGTGCACCACTGTACACCTATATATTTGTTCATAAAATTTATGTATTCACCTATTTACTATCGAGTCCTTTTATTGATTTTTTATGTCAAGTATCACATGGTATTAGCGCTACACCACCTAATCTACTTATGTATACAGTACATTCACATCAGTCCCTAACCCTCACGGGGCGTACCATCTAAGGTCCCTAACTCACATTCATACATACACATACTAGGGACAATTTAGACTGGAGCCAATCAACCTACCAGCATGTGTGGGAGGAAAAACGGAGTACCTGGAGGAAACCCATGCAGGCACAGGGAGAGCATGCAAACTCCAGGCAGGTGGTGCCATGGTTGGGATTTGAACCAGCGTTCCTAGTACTGCCAGGCGGAAGTGCTAACCATTTAGTCACTGTGCACTTTACTGTTGTTACCTTTGCATCCAGCTTTATTATTAGTAACAGTCCCGTAAGTCCATTGTGTCCATGTAGTACTATTGTTAGCCAGTTGAGGACAATTCACATTCTACACGCACAGGATGTGTATAGCATGTCCAGTCCTTCTGCCTCTTGTTACTAGGCAGATTAAAGCGCATCAAAAACACAGCAAAAATGCTGCCAAAACGCACTACATGGTTTTTTGCATCGTTTCCATTGAAGACTATAAAACCAAAAATGCAACTTTTTGCTTTTTAAAAAAGTCCCTGACCCTTTCCAAAAAAACGCACCGGGTGAAAACGTGAAGATGTGAGCGTGTCCCATAGGAAATCATGTTAAATAGACTGTACTGCGTTTCTGAAAAACACAACGGAAAGCGCTTAGGTGTGAACCTCGGGGTAAAGGGAAAGTTATTGCTGAATAAACAGGCCCGTAGCAGAAATGTAAACACTTCTCTGGTCCATAGGGGGTGTACAGGTGAGAGAAGGGAGGTGGGTAAAGGTTCTTATTGATGATGTACTGATCATATTACTGGCACTGCTTAGCACTGATCAGGGGCGGACTGACCATTTGGAAAATCGGGCACTGCCCGAGGGCCCGGGGTCAGTAGGGGGCCCCATGAGATGCCCCTGGTACCTTTTTCATAGGCTTTTTTGAGTTTGGGCAAGGACACAGGGGCCCCATGATCCCCTATTGCCCGGGGGCCCCATGAGTTGTTAGTCCGCCCCTGGCACTGATTAATCTGTTTTTTCTCTTCCAGTTACATAGTGTTCAGTATACTTCCAACCATTGCCGATATTGTCATTGGGATCGTCTATTTCACGTCTTCCTTCAACGCCTGGTTTGGGTTGATCATTTTCGTCTGTATGACTTTATATCTGAGTAAGTACGAAGACAGGAGAAGACGCAGGATGTTTTATTTGTAGAGGCCGCTGTTGACTATGTTGCAATATACTGCAATGAAATGGCATAATTAAAAAGGTGCTGTAAGAGCGCATGTTATGGTTGGGTCACAATATACTTTGCAGCAGTAACCGTGTAAGCCCGGGTTCACACTTGTGCGGCGCGTTATATCGCATGTGATTCGCACAGGAACCGCACCGCATTCCAGTGCAAATCACATGTGAATTCTGTGCGGTGCGATTTGAGCCATTCATTTTGTATGGCTCAAACCGCACAGCATCTGCATCAAAAAGGTGCAGGACCCTTTTTTTGGTCTGTATTAGAATCGGATCGCATGCGTATCCACGCCTATGCGATCCGATTCTTCACATCGCACCGCGTTTAGCGGACCAATTTCGGGGTGTTGTTAACTTAACATACACACCCGCAGCGGTTCGCATGAACGGGGTACGATTATGATGCGGTGTGGAATTCACACAGAAGCCGCTGTGAATTCCAGACCGCATCAGTGTGAACCAAGGCTTAAACTCTGCCTACCGTTTCTGTCCTCCAGAGGAAAGAGGGAAAAGACCCTCACCTTAAGCCTGGGTTCACACTGATGCGGTGCGGAATTTGCAGCGTTTTCTGTGCGAATTCCGCACCGCATCAGAATCGCACCCCATTCATGCAAACCGCTGCGGGTGTGTATGTTAAGTTAACAACACTCCGAAAGCGACCTGCAAAACGCGGTGCAGTGTGCAGAATTGGATTGCATAGGTATGAACACCTATGCGATCCGATTCTAGTGCGGACCAAAAAAGGGACCTGCACCTTTTTGGTGCGGTGCGATTTCAGCCTTACAATATGTATGGCTCCAATCGCACCGCACACAAATCGTATGTGATTTGCATATGAATGCAGTACGGTTCCTGTGCGAGTCACATGCGATATACCGCACCACATATATGTGAACCCAGTGTAAATGACGAAATTAAGTTCATTGACTCAAATTATTACAGACAAGTCCAGCAGGTGCAACCAATTTTAATGCATTTCACTCCTGACTGGAGATTAATTTTATGATTTAAGCTCCAGACAGGAGCAGTGGCGTCCCTATGGGGGTGCAAGGGGGTGCAGACCGCCCCCGGGTGACACCAGGTGCCCAGAGCTCCAGGTCCTCACAGGCAGCAGTATAGTGCTCAATTCCACAACGGTGCAGGAGGCCCCGTGCCAGTCTGCGTTTCAGGACCCCTGGCCGACTCTCCTCCCCCTCAGTCCTAACTGTGTGTCATTCCCCCAGCCAGATTTGCTGCCTATGCCGGCCCTTCTCTCCCCATTCCTGCCACAACCGCTGCATTCCTATTGCATATACTCCGGATCGCAGAGAGTGCGTGAGATCGCCACTTACCGGGAGGCAGAGCTGCAGGGCATCCACATGGTGAGTTAGAGGAGTGACTGGCTGAAAATGTGCGGGGCTCACACCTGCAACCTACGGGGTGCCAGGCCATGGCTTTGTCGGAGGGGTGACACAGGAAGGCAGCTAAACCCAGTAAGTTAGCTCGGGTTCTCAGGGGAATACTCAGAGACTAGTGGGGGGATGAGGCAGGGCTGCTGTTAGAAACCATGGGGCCCCTTACAGCCAACCTGACAGGGCCCCCCAAACCACCGGGCCCCATACAGCCAACCTAACAGGGCCCTCCAAACCACTGGGCCCCATACAGCCAACCTAACAGCCCCCCTCCCCCCCCCCCCCCCCCACAAAAAACACAGTTTATTTTGCTTCTTTATGAATGAGCACAGTGAGTGATCGGTACAGATCGCTCGTTGTGTTCACTTAGGAAAGGAAGGGCTGGTAAATGAGTGAAACTGACCCCCTGCTCTCCCCATTCCTGCCGCAACCGCTGCATTCTTATTGCATATACTCCAGATCGCAGAGAGTGCGTGAGATGTGAGATCGCCACTTACCAGGAGGCAGAGCTGCAGGGCATCCACATGGTGAGTTAGAGGAGTGACTGGCTGAAAATGTGCGGGGCTCACACCTGCAACCTACGGGGTGCCAGGCCATGGGTATGTCGGAGGGGTGACACAGGAAGGCAGCTAAACCCAGTAAGTTAGCTCGGGTTCTCAGGGGAATACTCAGAGACTAGTGGGGGGATGAGGCAGGGCTGCTGTTAGAAACCATGGGGCCCCTTACAGCCAACCTGATAGGTCCCTCCAAACCACCGGGCCCCATACAGCCAACCTAACAGGGCCCTCCAAACCACTGGGCCCCATACAGCCAACCAAAACACAGTTTATTATGCTTCAGTTATGAATGAACACCGTGAGTGATTGGAACTGATCGCTCATTTTGTTCATTCAGGAAAGGAATGGGCTGGTAAATTAGTGGAACCGATCCCCTGTATGCCTCTTTCTGCAGCAGCTGAAAGCCAGCGGAGGGGGGAAAGGAGAAGAAGCCAGCTTTCAGCTGCTGCAGAGAGAGCCATACAGGGGATTGGTTCCAGTATTGCCCCCTCCCCCACCCTCTGTGCCAATCGCCCTCCCTGCCCACATCCGATTCACCCAGCTTCCTGGGCCCCGTACAGGAGGACTGGTGATACCCCCTTATCCACGGCCCTGGGATGAGGGGGGGTCAGCAGGCTGGCTGTGCCCGGATGGAGCTGTAATGTCATGTGTAAGCATTGTACAGAGAGGGCTGCCTGACATATTTTATCACAAGGCTGGAATTCTGGTGCAGGGGCGGACTGACCATTTGGAAACTCGGGCACTGCCCGAGGGCCCGGGGTCAGTAGGGGGCCCCATGAGATGCCCCTGGTACCTTTTTCATAGGCTTTTTTGAGTTTGGACAAGGACACAGGGCCCCATGATCCCCTATTGCCCGGGGGCCCCATGAGTTGTCAGTCCGCCCCTGTTCTGGTGTCATGGCACAGGGAATGTCTCTAGCACGTTTAGGTTACATTAATACTAGTAATAGGGGCTGCGACAAATTGTACCAGCAGGAATCTTCTGATTCCCGCTGCACCTCCATTGCTATTCGGCACTGCGCTATTTCAATTGGTAATTGCACGGTCATGCAATGCTGTACCCACACACAAATAGAGCTTTCTTCCGGTGGTATTTGATCACCAATGGGTTTTTTATTTTTTTTATGATATAAATGAAAAAAGACCGAAAATTAAAAAAAAAAACAAAAACAATATTTGTTACTTTCAGTTATAAAAAATATCCAGTTAGTCATGAATTTAGGCTAAAATGTATTCTGCTGCATGTCTTTAGAAAAAAAAAAAAAATCCAATACAAGTATATTAACTGGTTTGTGTGAAAGTTATAGCGTCTACAAAAAATGGTATATGTATTGGAATTTACACAGCTTTTATTTTCTGACTGCCTATCACATTTCTTGAGGTGCTAAAATGCCAGGACAGTACAATCCCAAATGACCCTTTTTTTGCAAAGTAGACACCTCAAGGAATTTGCAGAGATGCATGTTGAGTCCATGGAACATTTTATTTTTTACCACAAATTTTTGGAAAATGACTTTTTTTTTTTTTTTTTACACAAAGTTGTCACTTAAATGATATATTGCTCACGCATACCGTGGATATATGTGGAATTACACCCCAAAACACATTCTGCTACTTCTCCTGAGTATGGGGATACCACATGTGAGAGACTCTTTAGCAGCCTAGCCACATACAGGAGCCTGAAATCCAATGACCACCTCCAGGCTTTCGAAGGGCATATTTCCTCATATCACTTCCCCAATACCTATCACAGTTTCAGAAGCCCTAAAATGCCAGGATAGTACAAACACCTCCCCAAATGACCCCTTTTTGGAAATAGACACCCCAAGGAATTTGAAAAGCGGCATGGTGAGAATTTTGTCATAGGGTTTTGAAAAAGAAGAAAGGAAAAGAAAAAATACATTTTCCTTTTCTTTCTTCATTTTCCAAAAACTTGTGGCAACAAATGAGATCTGCAAAATACTCACCATGCCTCTTAGCAAATACCATTGGAGTGTCTACTTTCCAAAAAGGGGTCATTTATTTTGGGGGTCATTATATTTTGTCAAACAAAAAAAAAAATTAAGTTCTAAAAAGTGTATTCTTTCCAAAAAATGTGAAAAATCGCTGCGAAAACACTGTGTGACATAAAACATTTCACCACCCACCGTTTTATTCTCCCTGAAATGGCCAACATTAGAAACTTATGCCACACATCACCCACTTTTCTAACCTCTTGAAGACCGAGCCTTTTCTGACACTTTTTGTTTACTTGAAAAAAACGTTTTTTTTTGCTAGAAAATGACTTTGAGCCCCCAAACATTATATATTTTTTTTCCCTAGAGTGGGTGTTGACATTTTTTATGTATGTCACACAGTATTTGCGCAGAAATTTTTTAAATGCAAACTTTTTGGAAAGAATACACTTTTTAGAATTCAAATTTTTTTTTTGTTTTACAAAATATAAAAGACGAAGTTACGCCGTAACATGCTTTAAAATTGTGCACGCCCGTGCAACAGCGACAAATTCCGTACATTTTTAATATCCATAGGCGGCGTTTTAAAAGCCTGTACAGGTCACCACTTTAAATTTACACAGGAGTTCTAGTACTGGAATTACAGCTCTTGATCTGACGTTCGCTGTGATACCTCACATGCATGGTGCAGTCTCTGTTTACATACCGCCATGGGACCGTCGCTTGGGTTTGCCTTTGCGCGCAAGCGCAAGGGTGGGAGTGGTAGTGATTTCTTTTTTTTTTTTAATTATTGCTTTTTTTAATTATTTTTACACTATCCCTTTCATTTTTATTTTATTTTTTTTATCACATTTATTGTTATCACAGGGAATGTAAATATCCCCTGTGATAGCATTAGGCAATGACAGGTACTCTTTTCTGAGAAATCTGGGGTCTATTAGACTCTAGATCTCTCCTCTTCGCCCTTAAAGCATATGATCACACCAAGATCGGTGTGATCAGATCCTGTCCCAATTTTAAAATGGCTTTGTTTATATCTGACGAAATGGAAATTATGAAATCTCATAGCTTCTGTTCTCTTAGACCATAGAGATGATTGGAGGCATTCCAGTCTCCGATCAGCTCTATTAGCCAGCGGACCTGCTGGCTGCATTTTTAGGTTCCCCTGTGGAATGGGAGACTACGTAGTAGGGCTTTTAAGACAGTTCAAAATATAGTGATTATATTTAAATAAACTGTACAACTCAGTTGAACAAAAAACTGAAATCTTTTAGGTGGAGGGAAGTAAAAATAAAAAACTAAAATAATCTGGTTGCATAAGTGTGCACACCCTTAAACTAATCCTTTGTTGAAGCCCCTTTTGATGTGATTCCAGCACTCAGTCTTGTTGGGGAGGAGTCTATCAGCTCGGCACATCCTGACTTGGCAATATTTGCCCGCTCTTCCTTGCAAAAAACACCCCAAATCTGTCAGATTGCGAAGGCATCTCCTGTGCACAGCCCTCTTCAGATCGCCCAACAGATTTTCCAGCGGATTCAGGTCTGGGCTCTGGCTGGGCCATTCCAAACCTTTCATCTTCTTCTGGTGAAGCCATTCCTTTGTTGATTTGGATGTATGCTTTGGGTTGTTGTCCTGCTGAAAGATGCAGTTCCTCTTCATCTAGCAGAAGCCTGAAGGTTTTGTGTCAATATTGACTGGTATTTGGAACTGTTCATAATTCCCTCTACCTTGACTAAGGCTCCAGTTCCAGCTGAAGAAAAACAGCTCCAAAACATGATGCTGCCACCACCATGCTTCACGGTGGGTATGGTGTTCTTTTGGTGATGTGCAGTGTTGTTTTTGCGCCAAACATATCTTTTGGAATTATGGCCAAAAAGTTCAACCTTGGTTTCATCAGACCATAACACATTTCCCACATGTTTTTGGAGGCTTCAGATGCGTTTTTGCAAAATTTAGCTGGGTTTGATTTTTCTTCATAAGAAAAGGCTTCCGTCTTCCACTCTACCCCATAGCCCAGACATATGAAGAATACGGGAGATTGTTGTCACATGTACCACACAGCCAGGACTTGCCAGATATTCCTGCTGCTCCTTTCATGTTGCTGTAGGGCTCTTGGCAGCCTCCCAGACCAGTTTTCTTCTCATCTTTTCATCCATTTTGGAGGGACGTCCAGTTCTTGGTAATGTCACTGTTGCACCATATTTTCTCCACTTGATGATGACTGTCTTCACTATGTTCCATGGTATATCTAAAGCCTTGGAAATTCTTTTGTACCCTTCTCCTGACTGACACCTTTTAACAATGAGATTCCTCTGATGCATCGAAAGCTCTCTGCGGACCATGGCTTTTGCTGTAGGATGCGACTAAAAAAAAAAAAATGTCAGGAAAGACCGACTAGAACAGCTGAACTTTATTTGGGGTTAATCAGAGGCACTTTAAATGATGGCAGGTGTGTACTGACTCCTATTTAACATGATTGTGAATGTGATTGCTTAATTCTGAACACAGCTACATCCCCAGTTATTAGAGGGTGTGCACACTTATGCAACCACATTATTTTTGTTTTTAATGGTTACCCCCCCCCCCCCCCCCCCCCCCCCTAAAAGATTTCAGTTTGTTTTTCAATTGAGTTGTACAGTTTATAGGTCACATTACAGGTAGAAAAAGTTCTGAAATGATTTATCTTTGTCTCATTTTTTTACATCACAGAAACCTGATATTTTAACGGGTGTGTAGACTTTTTATATCCACTGTAAGTACATACTGTAGAGGGATATGTTTTGTTCATATTTCATGTCTGAGGTTTACAGCCCCTTTAAGTATTCAAAGTGATCAGGAATTAGCTTTTCACATGATTGGTTAAATAAAATGAAAGTTCTCACAATTTTTCAGTGAAGATTCTCAACTCCTTTAGTAAATTAGCTATAATCTCTCAGTTTAGATTCTGTTAGGCCCTCTCTGTGATTGGCATGTCATCTGCTGTGTGGGTGAAAGTCCCATAACAGTCTTTTTCCTGCTTTGCAGCTCTCACCATCATTATCACAGAATGGAGAACGAAATACCGCCGGGATATGAACACCAGAGACAATGAAGCCAAATCCCGGGCTGTAGACTCTCTGCTGAACTTTGAAACGGTGACTTTTTTTTTTTATCTGCATTGTAAATTGTACTGACTGATGGACCCGATGTGTGACATTTATATGATTTGTGTGTTTACTTTGGTTATGAATTTTCTTTTCAGCCAAGATTGATTCCCTGTTACAGTGGGGCAAAAAAGTATTTAGTCAGCCACCAATTGTGCAAGTTCTCCCACTTAAAAAGAGAGAGAGGCCTGTAATTGGCATCATAGGTAGACCTCAATTATGAGAGACAAAATGAGGAAACAAATCCAGACAATCACTTTGGCTGATTTTGGAAAGAATTTATTTGCAAATTATGGTGAAAAATAAGTATTTGGTCACCTACAAACAAGCAAGATTTCTGGCTCTCACAGACCTGTACCTTCTTCTTTAACCATTTCAATACCGGGCAATTTTCCCCCTTCCTGTCCAAGCCATTTTTCACGTTTCAGCGCTCTCACACTTTGAATGACAATTGCGCGGTCATACAACATTGTACCCAAACTAAAATTTTATCATTTTCTTCACACAACTAGAGCTTTCTTTTGGTGGTATTTAATCACCGCTGGGGTTTTTATTTTTTGCTAAATTAACAAAAAAAATACCAAAAATTTTGAAAAAAAAAACACGTTTTTCTTTGTTTCTGTTATAAAAGTTTACAAATTAATAATTGTTCTTCATAAATTTAGGCCGAGATGTATTCTGCTACATGTCTTTGGTGAAAATAACCCAAATTAGGATGTATTATTTAGTTTGTAGGAAAGTTATAGAGTTCACAGACTATGGTATAGATCTGATTATTGATCAATCCTGAAGTACTGACAGCCAATCTAATTTCTTAAGGTCCAAGAATGTCAGAACAGTACAGATATCCCCAAATGACCCCTTTTTGCAGAGTAGACAGTCCGACGTACTTCATAAGAGGCATGGCGAGTTTTTTGAAGTTGTATTTTTTTTGTCACAATTTTTTGGAAAATGAAAAAATGAAAAAAATTATTTTCACTATTTTTTTTTTTACATACTGTCACCAGTGCAGTACAGCGTCATCATATAACTGGCATGGCGGTGAACAGGGACACTGACTGGTGACAGTATGAAAAAAAAAAAAATATATATATATATATTTTTTTTTTTTTTTTTTAATTTTTTATTACATTTTTTTTTTTTTTTTTTAAGATTTTTTTTTTCATATTTTAATATGACCACAGTAGTACAATGTTACCATAGTAACATTGTACTACTTTGGGGCAGTGATCAGTATTTTTTTTTTTTTATTATTTTACAATTTGCTTATAGCAAAGAATTACTTTGCTATAAGCAAGCATTTACCTGAATGAAATCGATTCATTCAGCTTTTTTTTTTTTTTTTTTTTTTTTTTTTTTTTTGTGCTTAGCTGACATGTGCATGTGATTAGCTGTGACCATTCACAGCTAGGCACTAGTATACAATGGATGGCATGAATGAAGCCATCCATTGTATACAACTGTCATGTGACCTGCTGTGATTGGTCACAGCAGGTCACATGGTACCTGCAACGGGGGCCGGTACTCAGATCTGTCATCGGCCGTGTCCGAGGTACGCGGCCGGTGACAGATCGCGCTGCTGCGCCGCTCTGCATTAGCGCAAACTGCGCATGTGCGGGAGCACGCCAAATGGCGTGCACCCAGCATACAGGAGCACATTTGAAGCCGCCAAACGGCCATTGGCCGGGCGGCTAATGGTTAAGAGGCTCCTCTGTCCTGCACTCATTACCTGTATCAATGGCACCTGTTTGAACTTGTTATCAGTATAAAAGACACCTGTCCACAACCTCAAACAGTCACACTCCAAACTCCACTATGGTGAAGACCAAAGAGCTGTCAAAGGACACCAGAAACAAAATTGTAGACCTGCACCAGGCTGGGAAGACTGAATCTGCAATAGGCAAGCAGCTTGGTGTGAACAAATCAAGACAAAACAAATGGAAGACATACAAGACCACTGATAATCTCCCTCGATCTGGGGCTCCACGCAAGATCTCACCCCATGGGGTCAAAATGATCACAAGAACAGTGAGCAAAAATCCCAGGACCACACGGGGGGACCTAGTGAATGACCTGCAGAGAGCTGGGACCAACGTAACAAAGACTACCATCAGTAACACACTACGCCGCCAGGGACTCAGATCCTGCAGTGCTAGACGTGTCCCCCTGCTTAAGCCAGTACATGTCTGGGCCCGTCTGAAGTTTGCTAGAGAGCATTTGGATGATCCAGAAGAGGATTGGGAGAATGTCATATGGTCAGATGAAACCAAAATAGAACTGTTTGGGAAACACAACTCGTCGTGTTTGGAGGAGAGAGAATGCCGAGTTGCATCCAAAGAACACCATACCTACTGTGAAGCATGGGGGTGGCAACATCATGCTTTGGGGCTGTTTCTCTGCAAAGGGACCAGGACGACTGATCCATGTACAGGACAGAATGAATGGGGCCATGTATCGTGAGATTGTGAGTGCAAACCTCCTTCCATCAGCAAGGGCATTGAAGATGAAACGTGGCTGGGTCTTCCAACATGACAATGATCCCAAACATACCGCCCCGGCAACAAAGGAGTGGATTCGTAAGAAGCATTTCAAGGTCCTGGAGTGGCCTAGCCAGTCTCCAGATCTCAAGCCCATAGAAAACCTTTGGAGGGAGTTGAAAGTCCGTGTTGCCCAGCGACAGCCCAAAAACATCACTGCTCTAGAGGAGATCTGCATGGAGGATGGGCCAACATACCAGCAACAGTGTGTGCCAACCTTGTGAAGACTTACAGGAAACGTCTGACCTCTGTCATTGCCAACAAAGGATATATAACAAAGTATTGAGATGAACTTTTCATATTGACCAAATACTTATTTTCCACCATAATTTGCAAATAAATTCTTTCCAAATCAGCCAATGTGATTGTCTGGATTTTTTTTCTCATTTTGTCTCTCATAGTTGAGGTCTACCTATGATGCCAATTACAGGCCTCTCTCATCTTTTTAAGTGGGAGAACTTGCACAATTGGTGGCTGACTAAATACTTTTTTGCCCCACTGTATATCCAGGGTGTGGTGCATAGCAATACATAATAAAGGCTCCATCTTTATTACTTCTTTTCATTTGGCTGATAACGGGTTATTCTGTGTAACCTTTCAGACAGTTGGGTGCGGTGCAATAATTCCACAACTCGTACAAAGTGTAATAATAAAATAAATGTATTGGCTTGGGTTAAAGATCTAATGCAAATGATAACCTAGATAAATCCTGCATCCTTCCAGTCCAGAGGTCTGCAAATTCTAATCAGCCGTACCTGGAAAGCGGCAATCTTCTGGTTCCAGGAACTCATCGTGGAGCCCTGGATGAACTCAACCAGTCTGTAGGGGTGATTTATTAAAGCTGGAGCACTCAGAGGGGTTGATTTACTAAAAGGCAAATAGACTGTGCACTTTGCAAAGTTCAGTCACTCTCTGCATGTGCAGTTACTCCAGAGGTGACGCTTCACTTTGCAAAGAATACCCAATCGCAATGCAAGGAAAATAAAAACAGCATTTTTGTTTGCACGTGATTGGATGATGGAAGTCAGCAGAGTTTCTGCTCATTTACTAAACGCTGGAGCAACTGCACTTTGCAAAGTGCACAGTCTATTCTCCTTTAGTAAATCAACCCCAGAATCTGGTGCAGCTGTGCATGGTCGGTAGGGGGCACCATGAGATGCCCCTGGTACCTTTTTCATAGGCTTTTTTGAGTTTGGGCAAGGACACAGGGGCCCCATGATCCCCTATTGCCCGGGGGCCCCATGAGTTGTCAGTCCGCCCCTGCTGTGCACCCATCTTTGCATACCTGTCAAACTCGGCTGTACGGGGGAGTCTTTACGTTTGATGTGTTCCCATTCACCTCTATAGGCCGGCTGCGCACAGCTCCACGATAGCAGAGAAAAGTAAGTAAATGGCTCTTAGGCCCTGGATGTGGTCCAGAATTCACAGCGTTTTCTGTGTGAATTCTGCACCGGATCAGAATCGCACCCCGTTCATGCGAACCAATGCGGGTGTGTATGTTAAGTTAACTACACTCCAAAATTGGTCTGCAGTGTGTAGAATCGGATCGCATAGGTGTGAATACCCATGCGATCCGTTTCTAGTGCGAACCCAAAAAAGGGTCCGGCACGTTTTTGGTGCGGGTGCGGTGCAATTAGAGCCATACATAATGTACGTCTCCAATCGCACCGCACACAAATCGCATGTGATTCGCAGAGGAATGCGGTGCGGTTCCTGTGTGAATCACATGCGATGTACCGCACCGCATATGTGTGAACCCGGGGTAACTCTCTACAGGGCTTAATGCTAATGTATTCCTGTCTGATGCATTTCAGGTGAAATATTATAATGCTGAAGACTATGAGGTGAACCGATTCAATGATGCCATACTGAAATACCAGGTAAGTGCACATACAGTATGTTCCGGATTATTTTGTATGCTGAAGTTGGGATTTCTAAGGGGCTGTGTCAAGATGCTGTTGTTCACTTAAAGTGGGTTTTGCTTTATCATTTAAGTCTGTTATTTCATCGTTTGAGACTATAGTTCTAATTATATGTGCTATTTATTATGTGGGGTTTTCACATTAACATTGATTTTACTACATGTGATTTTTTTTAGACTTTTTTTTTTTTTTTACTTCAGTTTCATCTTTATTCTTATTTGTATTTTCTCATATACAGTTGTGTTCAAAATAATAGCAGTGTGTTGGAAAAAGTGAATAAAGCTGAAAATCCTTCTAATAGCTTTTATTTCCATCCACACAAATGCATTGGGAACACGACACATTCTATTCCAAATCACAACATGAAGAAAAAAGATCAAAAATTTGTGTTGTTCCTCTAAAATAAATGAAGAAAAGTGAATATTAGACGGTTCAAAAAAAATCGCAGTGTTTGTATTCTTCTTTACAAACTCAAACATTCACTATATAAACTGAGAAATGTTTGAAGATTTTGCTTACCTTTGAATGACTTCATGAATATTTGGTTGTAGTCGCACTGTTTCTGAGAACTGCTGTACATCTGTGTTGTATGGAGTCACCCAACTTCTGGCAGCTGTGATCAGGTATTCCAGCCCAGGATGATTGGACCACATTCCACAGTTCTTCTCTATTTCTTTGATTTGCCTCAGAAACTGCATTTTTGATGTCACCCCACAAGTTTTCTATTTGGATTAAGATCCGGGGATTGGGCTGGCCACTCCATAACGTCCATCTTGTTGGTCTGGAACCAAGATGTTGCACGTTTACTGGTGTGTTTGGGGTCGTTGTCTTGTTGGAACACCCATTTCAAGGGCATTTCCACTTCAGCATAAGGCAGCATGACCTCTTCAAGTATTCTGATGTATTCAAACTGATCCATGATCCCTGGTATGCGATAAATAGGCCCAACAGCGTAGTATGAGAAACATCCCCATATCATGATGCTTGCACCACCATGCTTCACTGTCTTCACAGTGTACTGTGGCTTGAATTCAGTGTTTGGGGGTCGTCTGACAAACTGTCTCCGGCCACTAGACCCAAAAAGAACAATCTTACTTTCATCAGTCCACAAAATGTTGCGCCATTTCTCTTTAGGCCAGTCAATGTGCTCTTTGGCAAATTGTAACCTCTTCAGCACGTGTCTTTTTTCCAACAGTGGGACTTTGCAGGGGCTTCTTGCAGATAGCTTGGCTTCACATAGGCGTCTTCTAATTGTAACAGTCCTCACAGGGAACGTCACACCTTCTTTCATCTTCCTGGAGCTGATTGTTGGCTGAGTCCGCGCGCCATTTTGGCTATTCTTCTATCCATTCCAATGGTAGTTTTCCGCTTTCTTCCACGTCTTTCAGGTTTTGGTCGCCATTTTAAAGCATTTGCGATCATTTTAGCTGAGCAGCCGATCATTTTCTGCACTTCTTTATATGTTTTCCCCTCTCCAATCAACTTTTTAATCAAGGTACGCTGTTCTTCTGAACAATGTCTGGAACGACCCATTTTCCTCAGAATTTCAGAGAGAAATGCACTGTAACCAGCATGTACAACATTTGCTGCCTTCCTTCCTTAAATAAGGGCAATAATTAGGGGCAATTGTCACCTGTTTTTCAAAGAATGAATGACCTCACTAATAGAACTCCACACTGCTATTATTTTGAACATGCCCCTTTCAATTAATGATTCAATTACACAGAATCAGCAGCATGCATGTCATGACTGTTGGGTCTGTTGGATTTCTATTACTCTACTACACCTGCTAGTAAATTATTTGCCATGTAGAAATATCATTTCTACCAAAAACAGTGATTGATCAGGTTAGTGATGTCTGACTGCTATTATTTTGAACACAACTGTGTGTGTGTGTAGATAGATAGATAGATAGATATGCACCATAAAGAAGGATTCAACTCATAGAAAAATCACAGAAATAAATACAAATCAAAATCAGAGATCAATCTCTTAGGGGATAATGTATTCAAGTGGTGAATCCACTGGACTTTCCGTTTTCTCAAGGATAATTCTCTGTTGCCCCCAACTTTAGATTTATGGTTATTGATGGAATACCGAAAAACAGACACTGGGACAATAGAGAATCCCCATCGATCAACATGGGTACAACCAGCCAGTTGGATTTTTTTCTACATGCGATTACTGCCGATGGCTATAGCCGCTAGCAGTAATCATTGTGTTCTGCCAGTCGGAAAATCTCACTGCTAGCAGAACACAATAGCTCTGCCAGAGGGATTCCCCTATTAACACAGACAGGGAATCGAGCAACCACTGGTTGCAGGAAAGTAAATCAAATCATCTATTGATTGCTTTAGTTTGATTTGTCAGTCTGTGATGCTTTCTTCATTGGACTGTATGTTCTTCAGTGTTTTGTCTCCTTTTAGGTGTCAGAGTGGAAGGTTAATGCTACGTTGGCATTTTTAAATCAGACCCAGAACCTTATCATTGGGCTGGGGCTATTGGCTGGCTCATTGCTGTGCGCCTACTTTGTCACTGAAAACAAGTTTAAAGTAAGTTACAATAACCGGCCATATTCCTGTGCTGCACCTTTGTATACAGATGGATATCCTTTCTCTGATTTGCTGCTTTCTTGCATATACAGGTTGGTGACTATGTGCTTTTTGGTACCTATATCATCCAACTTTACACACCACTCAACTGGTTTGGTACCTACTACAGGTAAGTTGTGCTTTAGAAAAGCATGGACCATGTATCTGTCCCGAGGAAAAATATTGCCTGCTGCCAGTCTATTCAGTGATGGATTGTGCTCTCAAATTGGTACTGAGAGGCCTTGAGATAATATAGGGATCAAATAATTTATTTCATTAGTGGCATCTGTTTATAGACGAGCAATCTTCTGCATGGCTGAAAAGATAAATGTACATTAGCATACTTACCAACATTTCAGTCCCAGTCCCTAGTACACATGTAACCCTTCTACAGTCCACTTAAGGCCTGCCCAGAGAATGCATGGACCCTCCAGCTACTGGTGTAACCCATTTATAGTCCACTGAGATCCGAGATGCAGAACTGTCCAGCTTAGGACAGGGCCTCCAAACTTTCCAAACAAAGGGCCAGTTTACTGTCCTTTAGGTTTTAGCCAGCCCATAGCCAGTGGGAGTAGAAAAAGCCTTGATGCCAATGGGAGTAAGCAATGCTCCATCATTGGTTTTAGTGGGAGGAAGAGTGCCGCAACGTTGGTGTGATTGGGATTAATAGTGCCCCATCATTGGTAATAGTGGGAGGAATAGTGTCCCATCATTGGTGTCAGTGGGAGGAATAGTGCCCCATCATTGGTATCAGTGGGAGGAATAGTGCCCCATCATTGGTAATAGTGGGAGGAATAGTGCCCCATCATTGGTAATAGTGGGAGGAATAGTGCCCCATCATTGGTAATAGTGGGAGGAATAGTGTCCCATCATTGGTGTCAGTGGGAGGAATAGTGCCCCATCATTGGTATCAGTGGGATTAATAGTGCCCCATCATTGGTAATAGTGGGAGGAATAGTGTCCCATCATTGGTGTCAGTCAGGGAGGGTGCCCCATCATTGGTAATAGTGGGAGGAATAGTGCCCCATCATTGGTATCAGTGGGAGGAATAGTGCCGCAACGTTGGTGTCATTGGGATGAATGGTTCCCCATCATTGGTTTCAGTGGGAGGAATAGTGTCCCATCATTGGTGTCATTGGGATGAATGGTGCCCCAAGGGCCAGATACAGGCAAAAAAAGGGACACATATGGCTCCTGGGCCACAGTTTGAAGACCACTGAGCTAGGACATAAGGATTAAAAATGAGGGCATGGTAAAGATACAAGAGTTAAAAGGGTCAGTCCATCCAAATCTGATATTATATTTTTTTGAAAGCTTAAAGAGCAATAAACCATTTGACATCTCTTGGAGAATATACAGTGGGGAAAATAATTATTTGATCCCCTGCAGATTTTGTAAATTTGCCCACTTACATAAAGGGTCTATAAATGTTATCATAGGTGTATCTTAAATGATGGAGACTGAATATCAACCAAAAATCCAGAAAAAACACACGATACAAATGTTATAAATTGAGTGAGTAAATAGACAAAAGTGTTCAGTCAGCAGTTGCACTGGCTTACCATAGAGATGTTTAGAAACCTGATTTGTCTCTGATCACCTCTATGATATTAGAAAGTGGAAGCGACCTGTATATGTATATCATTTGTTTACAAGCTATTTCTTGGTTGTACAAGTATCAGATCATATCTATCTTGGTCTGATCTAATGCTGTTCAGGTCTGGGGTCTAATAGACCTCAGATGTCTCAATAAAGAGGGCCTGTCTTTGCTGTCACCATCTGTGTACAGAATGCCACCAGGCAGCCATATTACATTGCATTTCACAGAAAATTACAGAACTGCAGACTGAAAAGGAAAAGTCATGTTTAATAACATTCATTCACAACATGACTTGTGTAGCAATTATATATATATATATATATATATTTTTTTTTTTTTTTATTATTATTATTATTTATTTATTTTTTTATTTTTTTCCCCACGAAAGTGGCATAACCCTTTAAGTCCACATAGACAGTGCCATTGTTCATTCTCGTGAACTCTGATGAAGCCTGCACTGATAAGTCTGCAAACAATGAATAAGTCCCTAAATTTTTTTCGGGTTAATGGTTTTTTCGGGTCAATGGACAATTCCAGTCACTGACCCAGAAAAAGTGTGTTGAATGCTAGCATCCTGAGTATTTCTTTCATTATAAGTGTCCTTGGAGTGTTGGTGAATGCCTGATGGTATGCAGAATAGAGTTGCAAAGAGAGGAAGCAGCATGAGAGAAGTCCGGAAGTTGGGAGCTGGTCAGATGAGGGTCCCGGGATTAAGAAAGGTGTTTGCAAGCATAGCAGAGATTCCATGTGAGTGTCAGCATTGCTGAAAATGTTTATCTGTGTGTGTTACAGAATGATTCAGAATTCATTCATCGACATTGTTATAATATATTGCACTGTTTGCCTTTTTTTTTTTCAATTCAGCTCTATGCATTGCGAAGCGCTGTGGTGCTCTGAGTTGTGCTGCATAAAAAAATGCCGACATGCTGCATTTTTTCGCATTTCACATCACCATACATGTGATTGAGGCACATATAGAACAAAGTTTATGCCTTTATGTTGAACCTGTGTTGATCTATGCAGATCAACGCAACTAATGTGATAGAACTGTTAGGGCCGGTTCACATCAGTGCTCTTTTACTGCGCTAAAACTCACCTTCCCAGCGCTTCAAAAGTGCATGTAAAATATCCCCTTTAGAGCAGAATTCCGGTCAAAAATAGTTGTTCACCATGCAGTGGGACAGTGCCCCCACCACATGGATCAGCTGCTCATTTTTTTTTCTAGGGGTGAGCACAAAGCTCAAACTCACCTGACCCGCCGTTCCTCCGGAAAACCGCACTCCCCCTTCCTGGTCCAACGGTGGACTATTCCTGTCCTTGGAGCGTGCTGATGTCAGGAACAGTCCATTTACAAGATTGCTGCTGGGGGGGGGGGGGTGCAGGAACTGAAGGGACCCGTTTTGTGCGGGGAGGATCGGTGGGTCAGCTGGGTATATCTCCGTTCTCTCCCAGAGAGTGAAACGGGCAGTTATTATTATAATACAGGATTTATATAGCGCTAACAGTTTGCTCAGCACTTTACAATATAACGGGAGACAATACAGCAACAATACAGTTCAATACAAGAGGGATAGGAGGGCCCTGATCCTGGGAGCTTACAATCTAGGAGGGAGGGGCTAGTGGTACAAAAGGTAGTAACTGTGGGGGATGGACTGGTAGGAGGAATAGAAGATTCCATTATTAGCTGAGGGCAGGATAGGCTTCCCTGAAAAGATAGGTTTTCAGAGATCGCCTAAAAGTGAGCAGAGTAGGCGATAGTGTGATAAATTGGGGTAGAGAGTTCCAGAGGATGGGGAAGCTCTGGAGAAGTCCTGGAGATGAGCATGGGAGGAGGAGACAAGGGAGCTAGCGAGTAGGAGGTCTTGCGAGGAGCAGAGAGTAAGGTTTGGGTGGTATTTGGAGACAAGATCGGTGATGTAATTTGGGGCAGAGTTATAAATGGCTTTATATGTGATTGTTAATGTTTTGAATTTTATTTGTTGGGCAATGGGAAGCCAGTGGAGGGATTGGCAGAGAGGGATGGAGGACACTGAGTGGAGGCCAGTGGAGGGATTGGCAGAGAGGGGTGGAGGACACTGAGTGGAGGCCAGTGGAGGGATTGGCAGAGAGGGATGGAGGACACTAAGTGGAGGCCAGTGGAGGGATTGGCAGTGAGAGGCCAGTGGAGGGATTGGCAGAGAGGGATGGAGGACACTGAGTGGAGGGCCAGTGGAGGGATTGGCAGAGAGGGGTGGAGGACACTGAGTGGAGGCCAGTGGAGGGATTGGCAGAGAGGGGTGGAGGACACTGAGTGGAGGTGAGTGGAGGGATTGGCAGTAGAGGGAATGGCAGACACTGAGGGGGAGGCCAGTGGAGGGATTGGCAGAGAGGGGTGGAGGACACTGAGTGGAGGCCAGTGAGGGATTGGCAAAGAGGGGTGGAGGACACTGAGTGGAGGCCAGTGGATTGGCAGAGAGGGGTGGAGGACACTAAGTGGAGGCCAGTGGAGGGATTGGCAGAGAGGAATGGAGACACTGAGTGGAGGCCAGTGGAGGGATTGGCAGAGAGGAGTGGAGGCCAGTAGAGGACACAGAGAGTGGTGGAGGGCAGTGGAGGGATTGGCAGAGAGGGGTGGAGGACACTGAGTGGAGGCCAGTGGAGGGATTGGCAAAGAGGGGTGGAGGACACTGAGTGGAGGCCAGTAGAGGGATTGGCAGAGAGGGATGGAGGACACTGGTGGAGGCCATGGCCAGTGGAGGGATTGGCAGAGAGGGGTGGAGGACACTGAGTGGAGGCCAGTGGAGGATTGGCAGAGAGGGGTGGAGGACACTGAGTGGAGACCAGTGGAGGGATTGGCAGAGAGGGGTGGAGGACACTGGTGGAGGGATTGGCAGAGAGGGGTGGAGGACACTGAGTGGAGGCCAGTGGAGGGATTGGCAGAGAGGGGATGGAGGACACTGAGTGAGGCCAGTGGAGGGATTGGCAGAGAGGGGTGGAGGACACTGAGTGGAGGCCAGTGGAGGGATTGGCAGAGAGGGATGGAGGACACTGAGTGAGGCCAGTGGAGGGATTGGCAGAGAGGGGTGGCAGACACTGAGAAGGGTTAGTAAGGTTGGATGAGTCTGGCAGCAGCATTCAGATAGACAGTTATCCCATCCATTGTAGGATGAGTCTGCAGCCCCACTACATGACAGGCGAACATTTTTTTTTACCGGAATTCTGCTATTGCTATGTGCAGCCCCACTTTGAAAAGTCCTGCTTGCTGCCCTTTCAGTGCATTTTGTGAAAAATGCACCAAAAAACACACCTTTCATTATAGTCAATGGTACTGCACCAAAAACACAAAATGTGTTTTTTTTTTTTTAGTTTTTTTTTTAAATCGTCATTTTTCTCAGATGACCAGGGAAGAAAGACGCATATGCGTTGCATTTTTGATTTTAATACAACGCATTTTCAAAAAACGCACATCACATTTTACAGAACACAGATGTGAATTGACTCTTACAATTTAATCTGGAGATGGTTGATCGCCCTGGCTAATCGCTGTCTTGTATTGTCTGTACTCCACAGGTGAAGGATTTGGTGAATGCTGACCACCTGAGGTTCCGCCATGGAAAAATTGAGTTTGAAAATATCCATTTCAGCTATACAGACGGGTACGGGTAGAACATATTCCAGCATGGGGGGAAAAAGCATAAATCTTTCTGTAGTACACTGTGTATAAAAGGAGAAGGAATTGTTTTTTACACACTTCATTTGTTCAACATTCTGTAGGGACCTGGCTTACTGTCCTTGCACTATTAAAGTGGACCTGTCAGGGAAAAAAAGAGTATCTCTAGACCCAAAAATGTAATATACTGCAGCTTACCAGTTCTCAGTTGTAATGGCTGCATTAGTTTGTTTTTTTTTTTTGCAGGCTTTTTCCCCTTAATTTTCACCTGATGATCTTTTTTTGTATTCTACATGGAGATCATATCCCCCTTATGTATTATATACATGGAGATCATATCCCCCCTTATGTATTATACATGGTGATCATATCCCCCCCGTATGTATTATACATGGAGATCATATCCCCCCTTATGTATTATACATGGAGATCATATCCCCCCCTTATGTATTATACATGGAGATCATATCCCCCTTATGTATTATACATGGTGATCATATCCCCCCTTATGTATTATACATGGAGATCATATCCCCCCCTTTATGTATTATACATGGAGATCATATCCCCCCTTATGTATTATACATGGAGATCATATCCCCCCCTTATGTATTATACATGGTGATCATATCCCCCCTTATGTATTCCCCCTTATGTATACATGGAGATCATATCCCCCTTATGTATTATACATGGATATCATATCCCCCCTTATGTATTATACATGGAGATCATATCCCCCCCTTATGTATTATACATGGAGATCATATCCCCCCCCCATATCCCCCCCTTATGTATTATACATGGAGATCATATCCCCCCTTATGTATTATACATGGAGATCATATCCCCCCTTATGTATTATACATGGAGATCATATTCCCCCCTTATGTATTATACATGGAGATCATATCCCCCTTATGTATTATACATGGAGATCATATCCCCCCTTATGTATTATACATGGAGATCATATCCCCCCTTATGTATTATACATGGAGATCATATCCCCCCTTATGTATTATACATGGAGATCATATCCCCCTTATGTATTATACATGGATATCATATCCCCCCTTATGTATTATACATGGAGATCATATCCCCCCTTATGTATTATACATGGAGATCATATCCCCCCCCCCTTATGTATTATACATGGAGATCATATCCCCCCTTATGTATTATACATGGAGATCATATCCCCCTTATGTATTATACATGGAGATCATATCCCCCCTTATGTATTATACATGGAGATCATATCCCCCCTTATGTATTATACATGGAGATCATATCCCCCCTTATGTATTTATACATGGAGATCATATCCCCCCTTATGTATTATACATGGAGATCATATCCCCCCTTATGTATTATACATGGAGATCATATCCCCCCTTATGTATTATACATGGAGATCATATCCCCCCCCCCCCTTATGTATTATACATGGAGATCATATCCCCCCTTATGTATTATACATGGAGATCATATCCCCCCTTATGTATTATACATGGAGATCATATCCCCCTTATGTTCCCCCCTTTAATCTCCTCTTCTCAGTAGAGAATAAATTCAGTTCCTCTAATCTTTCCTCATAGCTGATCTCCTCCATGCCTCGTATCAGTTTGGTTGCCCTTCTCTGTACTTTCTCCAGTTCCCCAATGTTCTATTTGTGAATTGGGTACTCCACTGGGAGTGACCGATTGTAAAGACAGAACGCTTCTCTATATCATGAGTCTTGATTTTTATCCTCCAATTCTCAAAGCCTTCTGGTGAACCTGACATAAAATCCATGTTCTGATGGGATGATATTTTGTATTCGGTTGGTTGCTGTATGCAATTAAATATAAAAAAAAAACAATAAACTGTTTAACTGTTTCTTTCTGCCCCTTGCAGTCGTGAGATCCTGCGAGATGTCTCTTTCACCGTGATGCCGGGGCAGACTGTGGCGCTGGTGAGTTTTATTGTATAAACTGTTATACAAACCAAGCGTCTACCTCTGTGTTCAGTTGTCTGCAAACTACAAGTCTCAGCATTTCCTGAAAGCTTCAGGAATCTAACCTCCCCAGAACAACAAGGGTTGTAGGCGACCAGCACTTGGCCACATGTAGAATATAAATTCAAACTTTCTTCTTCTCCTTCCAGGTGGGGCCCTCAGGCTCAGGAAAAAGCACAATTATACGTCTTCTCTTCCGCTTTTATGATGTGAAAGGAGGCAGCATCCGGGTTGATGGGCAGGATATTTCCACGGTAAGCACACCAAGCAGAACTGGACCCCTAGAGCCTTCTCTATAATGTGCGCTGTGCTTGTGCCGAAGGCAGTATACATAAATCAAACTGATAGGAGCAAATAGAAGAGGTTTGTTTGGCAGAAGAGTTGTTACATCCCAGCAATTTTTTATCAAAGTGGCACTGAACTCAAAAATGGAAGTTTTGCTGTGTTATAAGGGATGTCTAGAACTATTAATTGTCCTTAACCGATTGACACCGGCAGTACGTAAATATGCGGCCTCTCAGCAGCTGGGCCTTGACGCCGAGCGGCCGCATGCTTTACTTAACCACTTCCCGTCCGGCCCGTGTATTTAAACGACCAGACGGTGGCAGTGCAGGGGCGGGTGGCGGTTTATAAACGGCCTCCCCGCACCCTGCTTGTGCGTTCTCCCTGGGAGTGCGCAGCACCGCGATCTGGTGCCCGCTGTGTGTGTTTGTTCGGGTTCCGGGGGTGGTTGTTGGTCTTTGGAGGCGGCACTTATTTTGAAGCTAAAGATAATGGTTTGGGACCCATCGGCAGTATGGTGTGTCCGGGGGCATTCCAGTTAACCGAGGTTTAACTGGAAGGTGGTGGTTCTGCACTGCGGATAGAATGTTTTGTCTCCGTGCCGGTGCGTTGCAGCTGGAGGCCTAGTTATAATATAGGTTCCACAGGAGGATATCGGTTTTGGTTTGGTGCTTTTGAAGACCAACAACTTCTCCTATATAATAAATGGTAAAGGTATATGAGCGCTGGGTGAAAACTCGCTAAATACAGGTGGGAGCAGCCAGCACGGGAGAGGAAACAACCTCAGATCCTCCAGATAATGCCAAAGATAAACGTACAAGTGCGGCGCTCAGTATTAGTTAGTGTGCAGATAGTATCTCACAGTATAGGAACTTAATAAACACATACGGATCAAATGTGACTGTTGTGACACAGTGAGCAATAGTAAAACTCTCGTGACCGTTGTGACTGTGGTGTTAAATAAAAACCAACAGAGCTTATTGGATATAATTCATGCGGAGTTATATAACTATAGGCGAACAGAAAAATTCATAGTCTCTATGACTGGAATCAGCGAGCATATTATAACCGGTTGGGTAGTATCCCATGCGTCATGAGCTGGTGGGATATAGTTCGTGCAGATTATAGTGACTGCGGTGACACAAAAAAAACAGCAAATAACTTTCGTGACTGCTGTGGCTGGAAACAATGAGTGTACTAAACACTAACCAGATGGCACAAATAAATGTGCGTTGGAGTAAATAAGACCTACTCCTCGGTACTCTGGGGGTGGGAACTCGGCATGTGGATGTAGTCATCAGGTGGAGGTCCTTCACCAGCTGTCATCCATCCCAAGCAGGGTTCCACGTCTCAGATTTAACCGTGTGCAGCAGTGCTTGTTATAGCCATCGGGGGGATCATACACGCAGGTGGAAACCAGGTAAAAGATCCTTCAGGTTTAAGACTCTCGGTGCCAGATGAATGAGCCCAGAGAGAAAAGAACTCCAATAGTGTAGTATGTTTAATATAATCGTAATATCAATGTACAGATGAAAAAACAGAGCCAGCACTTACATCTGATATGGTCAGTAGGTGAAGTAGTTAGCATCCATGAGACAAGGTATCTCCCTAACGCGTTTCGTGTAATAACACATTTGTGTCATATCAAATGTGTTATTACACGAAACGCGTTAGGGAGATACCTTGTCTCATGGATTGCTAACTACTTCACCTACTGACCATAATCAGATGTAAGTGCTGGCTCTGTTTTTTTCATCTGTACATTGATATTACGATTATATTAAACATACTACACTATTGGAGTTCTTTTCTCTCTGGGCTCATTCATCTGGCACCGAGAGTCTTAAACCTGAAGGATTTTTACCTGGTTTCCACCTGCGTGTATGATCCCCCCGATGGCTATAACAAGCACTGCTGCACACGGTTAAATCTGAGACGTGGAACCCTGCTTGGGATGGATGACAGCTGGTGAAGGACCTCCACCTGATGACTACATCCACATGCCGAGTTCCCACCCCCAGAGTACCGAGGAGTAGGTCTTATTTACTCCAACGCACATTTATTTGTGCCATCTGGTTAGTGTTTAGTACACTCATTGTTTCCAGCCACAGCAGTCACGAAAGTTATTTGCTGTTTTTTGTGTCACCGCAGTCATTATAATCTGCACGAACTATATCCCACCAGTCATGACGCATGGGATACTACCCAACCGGTTATAATATGCTCGCTGATTCCAGTCATGAGACTATGAATTTTTCTGTTCGCCTAGTTATATAACTCCGCATGAATTATATCCAATAAGGTTGGTTTTTATTTAACACCACAGTCGGTCACGAGAGTTTTTACTTTGGTGCAACAGTTTTGATCCGTAGACCAACCTATACTGTGAGATACTATCTGCACTAACTAATACTGAGCGCCGCACTTGTACGTTTATCTTTAACTTCTCCTATATGTTTCTGTTTTAACCACTTCCCGACTGGCCATTGTATATAAACGGCCGGACGGTGGCACTGCAGGGTAGTTGTATAGAAACGGCCTCCCCGCACCCTGCTTGTGCGCGCTCCCTGGGAGCGCGCAGCACCGCGATCCGGTGCCCGCTGTGTCCTCCGGACACAGTGGAACACCGATCCTCGGACGGGACCTCTGTACGAGGTCCCGATCATGTGATCACTGATTGGCCAATCAGTGATCACATGCAGATTAGTAAGCAAGATGTCACTTCTGACATCATTGCTTACTACATGTGAAATCTGTGAATGATCACAGAGGTCACATGGTACAAGGCTATTCACAACAGCCTTGTACCATGTGACAAGCTGTGACCAATCACAGCTCACACAGTATATCTCAATGGCTGCAAGAATGCAGCCAGAGAGAAGGAGAAATGATTGCTTTTACAGCCTTTATAAGTGTAAAAGCAATCAGTATAAAAAAAAAAAATCTTCATCACCCCACAAGTAGTACAGTGTCACCATGGTGACACTGTACTGCTAGTGTGACAGTATGTAAAAAAAACATAATCATAGAAAAAAAAAAAAATGTAAAAAAAAATTTAATTTTTTTTTTTTTTTTGTACTAAATAGACAACTGGATAAGTTTTATTATGAAATATTATTTTATTTGCAAAACACTTTTATTCAACATTTTTGGACTTTTTCATTTATATAGCAAAAAAAATAAAAATCCCAGTGGTGAATAAATACCACCAAAATAAAATCTTTATCTGTCTCAAAAAAATTGCTAAAAAATTCATATGTTCATGTGTTGCATGACCGCACAATTGTCATGCAAAGTGTGATAGCGCTGAAAGCTGAAAATTGGCCTAGACAGGAAGGGGGTGAAAGTGTCCAGGACTTGAAGTGGTTAAAAGTTAACAAACATGTGCCGAGCATGCACCCTGTGTGCTCCCGGATTATTTACCTGCACCTTACAGAAAAGTCCAGATCACTACTTGTGATCGGGACCTTTCAAATCATGTTACCGCTGTGACAACCAATCACACGGCGGTCACATTTCCCAGAGCCCCATCTCCCGACGTAACAAACCCCTAAAAGGGGCCGGGAGGCATCATATGATGACTAGTCACAATGGCGAGTGTCCTGCCCGGCCATCAATCTGCTATAGGCCAGGCGGGAAGGTGTTAAATTTCTTGGTTTTATGCAACTCCTACACTTAGAGTGGCGCCACCACTTTTAAAACACTACAGGGTACCTTCACCATTGATAACTTAGGGGTTTATATTTTTTTAAATATTGACTTTAGTAAGCAGAGACTCTTTCTCTGATGTTCCCGGAATTGATGAATGTCACACGATTTGTTTAGAAATTCTCAATCTTTTAAATATTTGAACAAGAAGTTATCGTTCTCTCCCCTAGGTTCTGCAAGCCTCTCTTCGCTCCCACATTGGGGTGGTGCCTCAGGACACAGTGCTGTTTAATGATACTATTCGGAATAATATCCGCTATGGGCGTGTCAGCGCCAGCGACGAGGAGGTGGAGCAAGCAGCAATTGCGGCCGATATTCACGAACGGATACTCTCCTTCCGTGATGGTGGGTGAATGACGGTAATCGTTTACAGGTTTAGGAAGGGCTCTGCGTGTTTTTAAAATGCATAGAACTGGGAGGAGAGGTTATAATAACAGAAGCTGAAAGAATCAATAATACGGATGTGACTTGACGTGCGATTTGCATGCTATGCGATTTGCAAATCGCATGTCAAGTCGCACCCTGTTGTCCGCAATTACAGCGGTCATATCGGCACGGTTATTATTATACAGGATTTATATAGCGCCAACAGTTTGCTCAGCGCTTCACAATATAACAGAAGACAATACAGCAACAATACAGTTCAATACAAGAGGGTTAGGAGGGCCCTGATCCTGGGAGCTTACAATCTAAGAGGGAGGGGCTAGTGGTACAAAAGGTAGTAACTGTGGGGGATGGACTGCTTGGAAGAGTAGAAGATTCCAGTATTAGCTGAGGGCAGGATAGGCTTCCCTGAAGAGAGAGGTTTTCAGAGATCGCCTAAAAGTCAGCAGAGTAGGCGATAGTCTCATAAATTGGGGTAGAGAGTTCCAGAGGATGGGGGAAGCTCTGGAGACGAGCATGGGAGGAGGAGACAAGGGAGCTAGAGAGCAGGAGGTCTTGCGAGGAGCGGAGAGGACGGTTTTGGTGATATTTAGAGACAAGATCGGTGATGTTCCGACTTGGTCGGAGCCGCACCAATTTCTGAAGTAGTACATGCACTTCTTTTGGTGCGATTTGCATAGACATCTGCGTCAGATGTCTTGCAAATCGCACCTGAAATCGGCATGTCCCCAAATTTGAAATCGTACGATTTCACTGTAATGCGAGCCATACATGGTTCGAATTCCGAACGATTTTCTTACGAAAATCGGACCTAAGAATAATCGGACGATTTTCGCTCTGTTAGTGGGGCGATGGCATCGGCCGATTTTTGTGGTTCCTCCCTGTTTCGTTTATCGGGCATGCTGGAAAATTTGTGAAAAACGACCGATTTTCGAAATCATTGGTGGCACCATCGGATTACAGAACGAACGACGTTTCTTTCGGACGAAACATCGTTTGGAATTCAAACCATGTATGGCCTGCATTAGTCGCACAATTTCAAAGCCGGGCTTGATGTGATCGGGGGGGTTAGTAAAGCAGTAGAGCTTCCAGCAGGTTTTTCCTGCAAGCTGCTATGTCATTACAGGGCACAGTAATGGTGTATTGGTTGGCAGGAGGAACCACAAATCCCAGCATGGACAAAGCACTCGATGGAAGTATCAGGTAGCAGTGGTGCAGGGGAGGAGTTGTATGTACACTAGCAATTCTATCACTGGGGGGGCAAATCACAGGCACCAGGATCACTAAATACACCTCTCACCTACTCTGATCACATCACTGGCTGAAACGCTGGAGAATCATGCCAGCCAGCGACAGAATATAGGACCTGAGGGGCCCTGTAGTGTTCCTCTCCTTTGGACCACACTCACTAACGGATTCAGTTTTAGTATCCCAAGAGACGGGTGCAGATTCCGGGGACGTGTTTGTTTTTATATCTTCCTTTTTCTGTCTGCAGGATACGACACACAAGTCGGGGAACGGGGTCTGAAGTTAAGTGGTGGAGAGAAGCAACGAGTCGCCATTGCACGAACCATTCTAAAGGGGCCACAAATCGTCCTTCTAGATGAGGTGATTCTGGGCTATCATCATCCATTTTTTCACCCAAGGATTGTAGGACTAACCTGCCCTCAGGGCTGCTGTTAGAAACCACAGGGCCCCATACAGCCAACCTTGCAGAGCTCTCCCCCTTTACTATACTTCAGTTATGAATGAACACAGAGAGTGATCAGTACAGATTCAGGAAAGGAAGGGGATAATAAATGTGACATATTTATGGGCAGCACAGTGGCTAAATGGTTAGCACTTCCGCCTGGCAGTACTTGGGTCGCTGGTTCCTGCCTGGAGTTTGCATGTTCTCCCTGTGACTGCGTGGGTTTCCTCCGGGGACTTCGGTTTCCTCCCACACTCCGAAAAACATATTGGTAGGTTAATTGGTTCCTTTCTAAATTGTCCCTAGTATGTGTATGTATGAATGTAAGTTAGGGACCTTAGATTGTACACCCCTTGAGGGTCAGGGACTGATGTGAATGTATAATATATATGTAAAGTGCTGCATAAATTGATGGCGCTATATAAGTACCTGTAATAAATAAATATTTACTGGGCCCTTCCCCCACTCTCCATCCTGAAGGATCCTATTGTGTGCTGGTTTCTTCTTCTCTCCCTCCCACCGGCTTTTAGATGCTGCAGAGAAAGTCATACAGGGGATTGGATCCAGTAGTTGCCCTCCCGCTGCACCCATCACCCTCCCTGTGCACCATACATTTCTCCGTGCTGCCGGCTTCCCTCCTCTCCTTCCCACCAACAGCTGCAAGCACATAATCGGATCCGTCAGGATGGAGGGTGGGGGAAGGGCCTGGTAAATTTGTCACATTTAGCAGCCTTCCTCTCAGGCTTATGAATGGTTTGCACCTTGTGGTGAACCCTCTGTATTTGCTCTCGTGAAGTCTTCTCTTGATTGTAGACTGACAATGATACGCCCACCTCCTGGAGAATGTCCTTCACTTGTCTGGATGTTGTGAATGGGTTTTTCTTTACCATAGAGAGGATCCTGCAATCATCCACCACTGTTGTCTTCCGTAGACGTCCATGCCTTTTTATGTTGCTGAGCGCACCAATGCATTCTTCTTTCCTCAAAATGGACCAAACTGTTGATTTGGCCACTCCTAATATTGCTGCGATCTGTCTGACTGGCAACTCATGGGGCCCCCGGGCAATAGGGGATCATGGGACCCCTGTGTCCTTGCCCAAACTCAAAAAAGCCTATTAAATAGGTACCAGGGGCATCTCATGGGGCCCCCTACTGACCCGGGCCCTCAGGCAGTGCCCGAGTTTCCAAATGGTCAGTCTGCCCCTGCTCTGATGGATTTGTTTTTTTTTTTGGAAGCCTTACAATGGCCTGTTTCACTTGCATGGACAGCTCCTTTGAACACATGATGTAGGTTCACAGCAATAGATTCCAAATGCAAATCCCACACTTAGAATCAACTCCAGACCTTTTACCTGCTTAATTGATGATTAAATAACGAAGGAGTAGCCCACACCTGGCCATGAAACAGTTTTTGATTCAATTGTCCAATTACTTTTGGTCCGTTCAAAAAGGGGGGTTGGCTACTCTTAAGAGCTGTAATTCCTAAACCCTTCCTCCAATGTGGATGTACATACCCTCAAATTAAACTGAAAGTGTGCACTTTCAGCCCATATCCATTATATAACTATAGCTGGAATATGTTTTGGTAAATACCTGAAAAAAAGTAAAAATGTGGCTGTGTCCAAATATATATGGAGCTAACTGTACATGAGTTAATCCGGCCATACATGGATCAAAATTCAGCCAATTCAGCAGGGAGCGGATGAAATTCCATGCATGTATGGGCAGGTGAATTGTACCCAAGTCAATCCATTGGTCGATTTGGGCACAACCAGCCTATCAGATTATTCTACATGTGATTATTGCCTGTGGCTATAGCCGCTAGCTGTAATCATTGTGTTCTGCCCACTGGGAAGGCTACATACGCCCCCGCCCCCCCCCCCCCCCCCCTGTCAACACAAAAGCTGCCGGAGGCACCCATATGGAAGAAAAATATATTTGAAATATATTTTCATAATATTCTTCCCAAATATATTGCCATATATTTGAAATGCTACAATTTTGGCCACATTCAATATATTTAAATAAATAAATATTATATATATATATATATATACACTGCGTGTTGCAATGCGTCTTTATTACAAAATATATGAAAAATATTTTTTAACATACATTTCAAATATACTGTATGTTTTTAAAAATACAAATCTACATTTTTGAAATGCATTTACAACTTTACGTAAAAATATATGTTAGAATTACTTTTTTATATGTTAAAAAAAAGTCTGAAGAATATATTTAAAAAAAATCTATTTCTAAAAATATATATTTTAAATATATTCTTCAGATTTTTTTTTTTTTTACGTATAAAAAGTCATTTTAACATACCGTATTTTCCGGCGTATAAGACGACCCCCTACTTTTCCTGTTAAAATATAGAGTTTGAGCTATACTCGCCGTATAAGACTACCCCTCTTCCAACACACACCAAATAAAAATGAAAAAACATCAGATTTGATTTCAATATGGTATGGTATTTCAGTATGGTATTCCAATGATGGGGTGCTATTCCTCCCACTGACACCAATGATGAGGCACTACTCCTCCCACTGACACCAATGATGGGGCACTATTTCATCCACTGACACCAATGATGGGGCACTATTCCTCCCACTGATACCAATGATAGGACACTATTCCTCCCACTGACACCAATGATGGTTCCCCATCATTAGTGTCAGTGTGTGAGGAATAGTGCCCCATCATTAGTCAGTGGGAGGAATAGTGCCCCATCATTAGTCAGTGGGAGGAATAGTGCCCCATCATTGGTGTCAGTGGGAAATCGTGCCCCATCATTGGTGCCAGTGGGAGGAATAGTGTCCCATCATTAGTGTCAGTGGGAGGAATAGCGTCCCATCATTGGTGTCAGTGGGAGGAATAGCACCCCATCATTGGTATCAGTGGGAGGTATAGCACCCCATCATTGGTGTCAGTGGGAGGAATAGCGCCCCATCATTGGTATCAGTGGCAGGAATTGCGCCCCATCATTGGTGTCAGTGGGAGGAATAGCGCCCCATCATTGGTGTCAGTGGGGGAGGAATAGTGCCCCATCGTTGGTATCAGTGGGGAGAATAGTGCCCCATCGTTGGTATCAGTGGGAGGAATAGTGCCCCAGCGTTGGTGTCAGTGGGAGGAATAGTGCCCCATCATTGGTATCAGTGGGAGGAATAGTGCCCCATCGTTGGTATCAGTGGGAGGAATAGTGTCCCATCGTTGGTATCAGTGGGAGGAATAGTGCCCCATCGTTGGTATCAGTGGGAGGAATAGTGCCCCATCATTGGTATCAGTGGGAGGAATAGTGCCCCATCATTGGTATTAGTGGGAGGAATAGTGCCCCATCATTGGTATCAGTGGGAGGAATAGTGCCCCATCGTTGGTATCAGTGGGAGGAATAGTGCCCCATCGTTGGTATCAGTGGGAGGAATAGTGCCAGATCGTTGGTGTCAGTGGCAGGAATAGTGCCCCATCATTGGTATCAGTGGGGAGAACAGTGCCTCATCGTTGGTGTCAGTGGGGGAGGAACAGTGCCTCATCGTTGGTGTCAGTGGGGGAGGAACAGTGCCTCATCGTTGGTGTCAGTGGGGTTGGAACAGTGCCTCATCGTTGGCGTCAGTGGGGGAGGAACAGTGCCTCATCGTTGGTGTCAGTGGGGGAGAGGAGCGGCTGCTCCTTCTTCCAGTGCGGCCGCTCGATTTTCGCGGGGCCGCTCGGCTCCGCCTCCTCGCCGGTGATTGGTCGCCTGTGTGCCTTTCCAGTGCTGGCGCCCAATCACCGGTGAGGAGGCGGAGCCGAGCGGCCGCATGGCCATCGAGCGGCTGAACTGAAAGAAGGAGCAGCCTCGCTTCCTGGACTGGATCGTCGTGGGACCGGAGCCAGGTAAGGTACAGCAGCCCCTCTATCCTCCCCTGTACTTAGTGTCCGCTGGAGGAGGAGGGGGGGCGGCGCCGCGCCTCCCCTCGAAAAAGTGCCGCCCTGACACTGGCTCGCACCGGCGTATAAGACGACCCCCGACTTTTCAGAAGATTTTCAGGGGTTGAAAAGTCGTCTTATACGCCGGAAAATACGGTATGTTTTACATATATTTGTAAATGCATTCCAAAAATGTAGATCTGTATTATTAAAGACGTACAGTATATTTGAAATGTATTTTTATAAATATATATATATATATTTTTTTTAAATATATTGAATACGGCCAAAATTGTAGCATTTCAAATATATTTTTCTTTCATGTGGGCATTTCCACATCAACACTGGCTGTAGTGGTAGAAAAGAAAATCTAATCATCTAGGCTGCCTTACAATTTAAAAACACATTTTTCAGAGGACACCCCAAAAGTGGCAGTTGTCCAGGCAACTGCCATGTTATATGTTGTGACAGCAGCTGCTGACCAGTCGTCCATATTGGCAGTAACACCCAGTGCGCTCTGTACTGGGCTCTTCCTCGATTTACTAACGCTGATTTTCACCCGCCTGTTTTTTAGGCCACGTCAGCACTAGATACTGAAACAGAACGCAACATCCAAGCATCTCTGGCCAAAGTCTGCGCCAATCGCACTACAATTGTTGTCGCTCATCGGTGAGACGTGATCTCTTCCTATATCTGTGACATTTGTAGATGGGAGTTTATAGAACAGCTTTGTAGTCTGCTGTTTGTGGTTGGATTGCGGTTTTCAGTTCTGATTATTTTTACTCTTTTATTTCCAGACTCTCCACCGTGATCAATGCAGATCAGATCCTGGTTCTGAAAGAAGGACAAATTATAGAAAGAGGAAGGTAAGGGCAGCACTCTGGCTAATGATAATAGAAGCATTTATTAACCACTTCCTGTTCGGCCCATGTATATAAACGGACAGAGGGCGGCAGTGCAGGGGCGGGTGGCCATTTATAAACGGCCTCCCCGCCCCCTGCTTGTGCGTGCTCCCTGGGAGCGTACAGCACCGCGATCCGGTGCCTACTGTGTCCTCCGGACACAGTGGAACACCGATTGTTCTACGGGACCTCTGTGTGAGGTCCCGATCATATAATTATATATTGAGGGGGATGCAGGGAGCGCGCACAAGCAGGGGGCGGGGAGGCCGTTTATAAATGGCCACCCAACCCTGCACTGCCGCCGTCCAGCCCGTTTATATACGGATGGGAAGTGGTTAATAAAAAAAATTAAAAGCACCACCGCGTCACCCATGAAAAAGTCTTCTTGACATGTTTGGCATCCATCTATTTACTTAAAGCAGTCTCATCTTTTACATTTTGCAAAAAAATTGTTGTTTTGTTTGTATGCAGTAAAATTCATTTTAGTGTGTTTTTGTTCTGAAAATATGGGTAAAAAAAGAAATTGCAATAACCACCATTTTATTCTCCAGGGTCTCAGCTTTCAGAAAATATATCATTTTGGGGTTTTTTTTTAACATATTTGTAAAAAATTTAAAAAAAAACTGCCCTGGACAGCGAGTGGTCAAATAAATGATTATTTGTGTCCATATGTAGGAGTGGTAGGATGTGATTGGCTGAAATACGTAAATGACAACCTTTGCTTTCCTTTGGTCACTATAGCTAATAAACTCTGTTCTTCTTGCTTGTAGACATGAGGAGCTCCTCGCTAAAGGAGGGATCTACGCAGGAATGTGGCAGAAGCAGCAGAGCAGCAATGAGTCCTCCTCTGACTCCGATACCGAGAGGAAAGACAAAACCTCAGAGAAACTGCAACAGCCCAAGCCGGCTCTAAGGAAACCTCACTAGACAGCAGCGTAATGTCACTTTGTGCTGCATGGCAGCTGAGGACAATGTTGGGTAGAGAAAACATGGTCCTCCTCAGCATTCTGTATGGAGTGAGTAGATTAATGGCAGTGATCACATCTCCTACTATTATCAGAGGCAGGAAAGGGCTGTGCTGGAGCAAAGCTTTGGTTTTCACAGAACTTGTGTTGGGAAAACACTGCAGTAACCATTATTTCACATTTAGCATCTTGCGGGTTTGCCAAACATGAAATTGGTGTAGCTCTTACGACTCTTCCTGCTAGGACCTGCAGCTCAGCCCAAACACTGCCACCCTTGTGCTCCTTGACCCATTGTGGTGACTTAGGCTGCACAGGGAACTGATATTTCAGTTTTTGGAAGACATTGGCTTGCAGATTCTCTTGTCTGTCAGAGATTCCAGTAGTGACATTTCCTTGCATTGATATGTGTATCTTTAGGTACATCCATCGAAGAACTTGACCATCAACTGGCTTAAAGTGAACATGTGCTACAGGGCAAAGCAACAGGATCACTTAAATGCCCAACCAACCCCAGTTGCTTTATACCCACTTTCCCTTCACTGTCCCACTGCTATATGTGCAGAGTGGAGAGAAGAGAGGAAACCCTTTGTAATCTTTAAGTCAATCTAGTTGTAGCTTACTTAGGACTAAAGGCTCTCACCCTGCCCCTGAGGACTCTCTACCCATCCCCTAAACAGCCAGCACTGCATCAGGGGAGGAACGGGTCAGTCACATGCTCTCCAATGCTCAGCAGTACTGAAATTTCTTTTTGCTCCAGGTAACTGAGCAAAGTTGCAGGATAGCGAAGGGAAGGCAAATATTTTTATGAAGAAGGTGAGAGCGGGTATTTAGGCAGACCTGTTACTCAGTGTATTCAAAGCACATGTTCATTTTTATATTGTACGCTACTTGGCCAAAGTTTGTGGATACCTGGCCATCACTACTACTATATGGCCAAATGTATGTGGATATCCCTGAAAGTGATTGCTGTCAGGTATTTCCAGTGAAGGTTATTGTTGTTACAGCATACTACAACATTTTTAGACTAGTCTTTCTCAACCAGGGCTTCCTGGAACCCAAGGTTTCCCTTAGAGGTAGCTAGTGGTTCCTTAAACAAGGTGCATCTTAGATAAGTTATCACTGACACCAGTGGTCCTTTCCGATATCTGTAAGAGGCATTCTTCATTCTTCTTAAGGGGCCCTTCTCCACTGACCATCAATGCAAATAGGTATTTCCTTTACAGACCACCAATCTAATGGGACCCTTCTCCACTCACCATCAATGTATTGGCACACTTTGCTGACCACCAGTGTTAGGGAGCACTTTACAGACCACCAAGGGAGAACTACAATTTCCACAGTCAGTGTTTCATTTCTAGCTATTACTATTATTCATTTAATTACTATTACCAAAAATAATGCTCAGAACAGCCTTGACTTTCAAATATACGAAACACACCTCATTCCGTTTTTTTTTTTTTTTTTTTTACTTTATCACGATAATGTCCCTTGAATGATAGGTATAATCTGACATGGATTTTCTGAGACCTGAATGTTAAAAAAAGGTTGAGAAAGGCTGCTTTAGACAATTGCCTGCTTTCAACCTTGTGGGAAAAGTCTGAGGAAGGTCCTTTCCTGTTCCAGCAAGGCTATGCCCCTTTGTACAAAGTCAGCTCAATTAGATATGGTTTGATGAGTTTGGTGTGAAGGAAAGTGTCCTGCACAGAGCCCTGACCTCAACCCTACTGAACACCTTTGGGATGAATTGGAATGAGTCAGGTCTTCTCAACCAACATCTCCATAAAGACATGGTTTGATGAATTTGAATTGAGGGTCTCAAGTGGCCTCCATAGGGCCCCTGATCTCAACCCTACTGAAGACCTTTGGGATGAATTGGAACACTGATAGTGAGCAGGGGTGGACTGACCATTTGGAAACTTGGGCACTGCCCAAGGGCACGGGGTCAGTAGGGGCCCCATGAGATGCCCCTGGTACCTTTTTCATAGGCTTTTTTGAGTTTGGGCAAGGACACAGGGGCCCCATGATCCCCTATTGCCCGGGGGCCCCATGAGTTGTCAGTCCGCCCCTGATAGTGAGCCAAGTCTTCTCATCCGACATCACTACCTTACCTCACAAATGCTTTTTTGGCTGAATGCACGCACATTTCCCCAGACATCCTCCAAAATCTTGTTAAAAGCTTTCCCAGAGAAGTTGGGGGAAGTAGACTCCATATTGTAGCCCATGGTTTTGGAATGGGGTATCCAAAAAGTTCATAAAGGTGTGATAGTTAGGGGTCTACAAACTTTGGGCTATATAAAGTATATAACCACTGTAAAGGATTGGAAATGGTGGTGGAATCTCTAAAGTCTATAAATATGACTCTGCCAGTAACCACACAAAACTGAAAAATTAAGTTTTGGGCATCCTTTAGTTTTAAAATGATGAAAGGCTACTATGAGGTGCAGGTCCTGGCACGACATTTCTGCAGGCTACTCAAAATCAGATTTTGCTTAGATTTGATCTGTCAGATTAGCATAATTTAAAAACATCTGTGTATTGTGAGGGCCTACCTGATTCGATCTATTTGAATGGATTGTGTTGGCGGGCCCATACACTACATATCTATAACAGAATCTGTCTGTGAGCTGCTAGTTTAGGGCTCATGTAGATGGGTGTGACATTGCTCAAATGGGGGAGTTTGGGTGCGAAACTCAGCAAAGGTTGCACTCGACCCACTTTGCATTTGATGTGCATTTCAAACACAAGAAACCAACTCACTCTGCATGAGCACTCATGGGTGCAAAAGCCTCTGTGACCTCAGGGTTCAAGATTTTAGCTCGCTCTTTTTTTAATTCAGGATTTGTATAATGATACGGGTGCTTTGAATAGGGACATAATTCTATTTTATTTAACAGTGGGCCTCATGGAAAATAGTGAATTTAGTGAAGGTGTCCGTGTTGTCCTTAGCAAAGGATTAGTTGCTTTAATCTGGTTGTTATGGACTTCATGCATTTTAAAATCATCCAAATTTGAGATCATCCAAATTTCTTTTGATGTTTTATCCAAGGCCCTGCATTGCGTATTTGTGGACAAGAACACTGACAAGATAATATTTAAAATGCACTGACACTAATAAATGAAATTGTTTAATAAGCGTCCGATATTTGCCTGTGTTTTTTTTTTTTTAAATTGACTTTCTTGTAGAACTTTGGTCAACATCCCTGGGCAGATGGGGGAATAAGTGACACATGTAGAGGGTATGGGGGGGATCAGAGCGAGGTGATGGGACCCAGCAATTAGTGTCCAGCTCTCCCACCAGCTCACATTCCAAAAGTCTGGACAGCCAGAGGCAGCCAACAGCGGCAGCGTGGCCCGAGTACCAGTTAGTATACAGTGCCCAGTGGGAGGTGAGTGCCGACCCTATCCAGCTAATCCTTTCATTGACTTCCTGAAAAATTCTCTTGGCCCTGTATATGTATGTATATATGTGTATGTATGTATGTGTATATATATATATATTTATTTTTTAAATATCCCCTCTTCCCATGCACTCTATGCACTCACCAGTTAAAAAAAAAAGTCTACTGTCATAAATATTTTACTCTTTTTCAGGGTTTTACCCGTTTATGTTGCAGCTCACATCCTATGCTTATTACAAGTCCCCTAAGTGATATAATATTTTAAAGACAGATTCTCTTTAATGAGATATGAGGGGGGCACCTCACCTGCTTTCCATTGAAGCCAATAGAGCATTTGTGCACATACACGCAAATACAATAGAAATAAAACATGTCTGCGCTCAAATCCAAATAGCTTTACACACACAGTATATATACGCCATCAGGTGCCACATGAATACCAAGAAAATCTCAATCAACCCTCTGCACACTGTACACAGCCTTACACATTTTTAGCAAACTTTGTATATAAACAAGGATTTGTAGTTCACATGCATTGCAAGACGTGTTTAAGTTGGCCAACTGCTTCAAAGTAACCCCTCTCTGGCCAGTCCCTACTCTACTCTGCAAAATGAAAATAGCAATTGCACCATAATAGGTATCGTTGCCAATGTCAGAGTGAGAGCAATAATTCTAGGATCATAATATATCATTAACTCTAAACTTATAACCTGAAAAGTCTTTGAATGGTTCATCTATAGACATTATGGTCAGTTTGTTGCCATTTCACAGGCGTGTGCATTTTTAAATCTTGACATGTGTGGTCTCTATTCACTTTGCACAGCTTCATCTTTTATATTTTACCAAAACAATGTGGATGTTATATTGTGTTTGTGTGCACTGATATTCATTTTAAAGTATTTTTTCCTAAACATTTGTGTTTGATACACAGCTACGCAAAATAATTGCAACAGTCACCATTTTATTCTCCAGGGCCTCTGCTTTCAGAAAAATATATAACGTTTGGGGGTTCTAAGTCATTTGCTAGCAAAAAATGCCCGATGTTAATGTGTGTGAAAAAATTGCCCAAGACAGGAAGTGGTTAAAGCCAGCATGGATTGATTTTCCCCCCGCCAAGCTGCGGTTTGAAAACTACAGCTGGGGTGCTGCTGTGCAGAACACTGCAAGATGTTAAATCAATCTACTAATACTGAATACATTTTTTAAAAATCTTTGTTATATGACTTATGACATGCATAAACATATGAAATAAATGCATAGTTGGGGTTCTTCTTGAAGTGCTTCCTTTGGTCCTAGCAGCATTTTAATGTTCTTCTTAAAGCAGTTGTAAGACTTTGTTTTTTTTTTTTTTTTTTAAATAATAACCATGTTATACATGAGTGCTCTGTGCAAAAGTATCGCACAGGGTGGCCCCGAACCTTCTTTTTGGGTCCCACACCGGCAATCCTGATTCCTCCTCTTCTCTGCGTGCCACCATAGAAAGCCACTATGGTTGCTCATGTACAGACTCGCTCCTGAGCTGGATTATGTGCATCCAAAGACACGCGTCCCCCGCTTTCTTCTC